CGAAGGTCACGGCGCAGGTGCTGGGCTGGATCTGCCATGGGAACGGGTTCCCTCGGTACCCGCTGGGTTCTGGGGGTCCTGCCCCAATTACCTGCCCTGGTTTTGTCTCCCAGCCCAAAGGATGAGGTTGCTGCCCACCTGAGCAGCTGCTCCGTGAGCAGGGCAGGGAATGGGGGGCCAGGACCTGCCCCCCTGCCAGGGAACTCTTCTCGTGGGAAGTGTCAGGTTGGTTTGGTGCTCCCAGGTGCGAGAGCTGGGCAGCCCCGTGCCCTGGGAGCTGGGCAGTGTGGCCAGCTCGGCCCCTACGGGATGTGGCCCAGGGGGCTGAGCCCCAGCCCTGCTCCCAGCCAGAGCCTGGGGGCTACACAGCCCCCCAGAATGGGAAGGGTGCCCTTTGCCAGGCACTGTCTGCATGTCAGTGCTCACTGGGAACAAAGCCAGCAGCAGCTCCCCAGGGACCATCTTCAGGGTGCTGATCCCAAACCAGGACAGGGGGGGAACTGCTCTGAAAGCAGGACTTTAGAGGCTGTTTTCCCCCTGCTCCAGCCCCATTTCTTCCAGCATCCAAGGTCCCACCTGCAGATTGGGGATCTCTGGATCACAACAGTGATGTCAGCTGCTATTCTAAAAAAACCCCTTAGTGCTGCAAAACATTAAGGGAAAAGAACCAAATGTGTCTTTATGCCTTGTCTCAGGACAGCAAAAGGGGGTAAATAGCACTGGTGAATTATAAATAACGATGTTAAATAATAAATATCTCCAGAGCATAAATAAAGAGTCTGATCTTTGGATGGGAAAATGGTCTTAAAAGGGTGCTTTGGAAATATTTTCAAGGCAGTAGGTTTGTGCTCTCTGACATGGCACCTCCTCCCCACGGAAGGGTTTCCTTGGTGGGGCTCTCTGCTCCTTTCCTGACCATCCTCATTAAATCAAACTGCCTGACCCTGAGCTGTGCAAAAAGCAGCCGCTGAAAGAAAACGGAGGGTCCTGCTTTCTGGCAGCAGCTTCTGGGGCACTTAAGATGAAATGTCTCACCCCAAAACACCCCCTGGTTCTGGCCCTGCTGGTGCAGCTGCCTAGATCTTCGTCTGTCCTCCCCAGAATCCCTCCTGCCCCTTCCCAGCACCCCCAGCCCACACAGAGATGACAAAGGCACCTCATATCCTGCTCAAGAGGGAGAAATCCCTGCCTCTGCCAGGCCCCTGATGCACAAGCCCCCCTGGGGACCCCCCTGAACCACCAAACCCTATACCCCCCCTCACCCTCTCCAGCAGGGCTCCAAAAACCCCTTGCCAACCCCACCCATGCCTGATGTGTCTGGACCTCCCTCCTCCCCAGGGCCCATCCGTGTCCCATGGGTGACCCTCTCCCAGAGGGTGCTTGCCCAAGGGAAGCTGCCACCCCATGGCTGTGGGTCCT